TTCTCCCTCGTGGCTCAGCCAGGTTTCAGTAATACATGCCAGGTCTGCCCCCTCATCTAATATTAAGTCCCGAATGAGGGGAGCTTTATGAATCACAGACACCTGGCATTTAGCAACAGCAACCTGAGACCAGGGCCCTGACTTCTCTTGTCACCTGGTCCTTGAGTTGAGCTTTCAGGGCCGGAACAAGGGATCGCTGTGACATAGTGAACCCTCCTTCCCTGGTAATGGCTAGCCCTGTAGCTCCTGTTGTATCTGCTCCTCCCAGTCATAACCGTGATGCTCCGGCCCGCTCCCATCCCCGTAGACCCCTCCCCCCTCCCACGGTCCCCGTTCTTCTCAGCAGGCCATTCATACCATGCACTCTGGGATGAGAGGAGGATCCGGGGCCCCATCCACTTCTGCTTCTACACTCAGTGGAGGGGGCTCCAGGCCGCACTCTCAATCCCCTCATATATACCGGCCAGGCATTCTCCGCATACATACCCCACTATGACATTAAAAACATACAATGGTAGGATAAAATAGAAAATGAAGTTAAATTAATTTAAAAACGTGGGAACATTCAATTACATGCATACAACACTCACTCCACATACAGAAAAGAAATTTGCGCAGATATTGGTGTTAGTATTGTGCAAGCATAAAGTTCGTAAGGCAGAGTCCTGCAGTTCAAATTGATGGGAACCGGCGGTGGTGTAGAGGGAGTGACTCGTCTTCCTTCCTAGAACGGTGTGGAAAAGAGGGCCAAAAGTCTGGAGTGGCTGAGGTCCCTGGGGCGGCAGCGGGTGGTAGTGGTCGAACAGATGAACCAGATCCTAAGTCCAGAAGCCCAAGGTCCGCGAACAGAAGGAGCCAGATGGCAAGGAGAAGAGGCCTCGGAGCCGCAAGGGTAAAGCAGAGGAGAGGCTGCACTGCAGAGAAGGCCCAGTCGAATGGAGTGGAGGGGGAGCGCCCGAGAGGGCCGTGGCAGTGACAACAAAGCCAGCTGCCCAATCTCATCCGGCGCCATAATAAATCGACCACCCCCTCTCTGAAACAATGACAAACCGGTGTAAATCCGAGGGCTCCTCCTGGTCGTGAAAAACAAGGCCAAAAGATGTCCGGAGCGCCGCAAACCGATGGAACCATGGGGGGGGGTGCCTGGTAGGGCCGCAGCAGCGGCAAGCAAAGCCAGCCGCCTGATCTCGTTTAGCTGGTCCATCCTGGACCAGCCACCCCCTCTCTGGCACAAAGGTATTGTGAGTCCAAGTCCAAGGCTCCCCCCGGTCAAAAGAGCGAGGTCGAATGACGCCGGGGCTGTTGGAAACCACCGGGAATGGCGCCATCAGCGCGACGGCGCCATCTTCACAGTCAGACAGCAGGAGAACTGCCGAGGGCAGCTGCATAGACTGGGAGCCGCCCGAAAATGGTGACCCCCCCCCAAACAACTGCCTGCTCAGGTCCCCCGAATCACCCTCCACCACTGGGGCTCCCCCCGCACAGACTCTGGCTGGCTCAATGATATTCTCAGCGTTTTTCTTCGCCTCTTAAAGTATATGCATGTCTCTCTTTTTTATGACAAAAAAATGGGCCCGTTTTCACAAAAAATGGGCCATTTTTGGAGGTATGCAGAGTGCAAAACCTTTTTTTAAAATTTTCCTCTTCAAAACCTTGGTGTATCTTATACTCCGGTGCGTCTTATACTCCGAAAAATACAGTATGTTATTCTGACAGAAGGCAATCCAGTGCAGAATTAGCTCACATTTTAAATGATGTTCCAATTAGTTCATAATACTGTAAGAAAATGGAGCATAGCCTTGCTTTTTTTAAAAGGAGGAACTGATGAAATTCAGCCAATCCTTAAATCCTGCTGAATTGAAATACTAATCATCAGCAATGCTACTCCTTATCATGTTAAAGAAAGTACATATGAGCAGTTCACGTGACTTGTAAGAAGAGTTAGTCCCTAGTTGCCTAGGCTAAATTCATACAAAATATGTTTTGTTAAATAATCTGGAAAAACTGAAATTATATATTGTACTAATCTAAACTATAATTATAGTTACCGGTAATGCAGTGGTCTTGTAGTTAGTTGGTGGACACTTTTGGAGTTATGAAGGCAGATTTGAAGCACTTTGTGTATCAAATGGCTATTGCGATGGGCAGTAAATGGAACAGAAGCTCCATTTATCAGATGGTAAATTGCTTTTCTCCACTGCTACTCTATAGCTTCCTGAGACCCTTTTCCATAGGAGCATCAAATAATTGAGATTTGAATAAAAAGGTGATTCAGAGAAAGTGTGGACTTAGACATCCCAATACTGGCACGTTCTTAATTCAAATGCATCTTTTCCTGGGATTGGAAGGAAGATTACAAAAAGTTCAGCTTCTAAAAGGATTTCAAGCAAGGACACAATGAACAACTTCCAGATTGCTGCACATTCCGATTGTCTATCATCTCATCTTTGTCATATTATTTTGGGGCAGGTAGGTCCAATAATACAATAAAGTGCCATTCAATTTTTTAATACTGCTCTGTACCTCTGTACCTGCATTCAGAAATGTAGATTTTCTTTAAGGGCAATACTTTGTATTCTATTAGTTATTCTTCTTCATTAAAAACAACCTCAAATGAGAAAAGTCATTGTGGCACGCTTTAGCACAGTGTGTGACTCCAGCTGGTTTTATTACCATATGATAACTGAAAAACAGTTATCATGTAATGGATAAAATTGCCAGGTGCATTGTCTAGTTCTCAGTTCCTAAACTTTAAAAAGAACAATAATATTGAGTTTTGGGCTTTCAGACTCTGTTGCAATTTATCTTTCTTATCTATAGCAGTTTTCATTAAATGAAAAAAAAGTATTTTATGAAGGCATCCACCTTTAAAATGGAGACCATCCCCCTCCTTAGTATATGCTTTATGAGAATAAGTGCAGTATTTCTATAACATTTTAAGAGTGCAGTTTAAAAAAATATTTTTGGACACTGGCGATGGTAAAGAAATTACCCTGAAAATCTCCTTAGGTGGACACTTGAATGCGACACTCTGCAAAGGAATTGGGATTAGGCCAAGGCCCATCTTAGTTTAAAACAGACAGTACTCGACTTATGTCCATAATTGAGCCAAAAATTTCTGTTATTAAGTGAGATATTTGTTAAGTGAATTTTGTACTATTTTACAAACTTTCTTGCCACAGTTCTGTGAATCACTGCAGTGTTTAAGTTATAACATGGTTGTTAAGTAAATCTGGCTTCCCTATTGACTTTCCTTGCCAGAAGATCGCAAAGGTGATCACATGACCCTGAGACACGGAAATCGTCATAAATATGAACCAGTTTCCAAGCATCTGAATTTTGATCATATGGCCATGGGGACGCTGCAAAGGTCTGAAATATAGTCGTAAATCACTTTTGCAGTGCTGTTGTAACTTTGAACAGTCACTAAATGAACAGTTGTAAGTCGAGGACAACCTGTGGTTTGTTTCCCACAGGAGTAAATACTTTCACTGTGCTTGCAGTCATAGTCTTCTCCTACTATTCCCACCCCTTGCAGCTGCAGTGGGAGGCATTTACTCCCAACCTGAAGTCTATGGAGAATCATCCAGATCATGTCCCAAATATGCTTTTTTCAAAAGGCCAACTTTGTTTGTTTCCTTTGTTTTTCCTTCAAGATGTTTTGCTTCTCATCCAAGAAGCTTCTTCAGTTCAACTGAAGAAAATAAATTATAAAGCAATTTCCTCCATTGTGAATAGGTTAAAAAAGAGACTTTTTTTTTTAAAAAAGGAATTAATGTATTTCCAAGATTCCACAGTGAAACTAACACTGCTTAGTAATATATCAATGCAGGGCTGTACATTCAAACTGCTCTTAGTTGGAACTGATGACTCAAAGATTCTGGATTTCAGGTACATTCTTTATGGGCTAATGAACCCATTGCCACAAAGTTAAACTGCAGTTCATGAAAATGTAATTTTCATTCCTGGTTGTATGTTGTGTTGTTTTTTAAAATGAAATAAACATTTAAGATATGCCAGTCAAACTGCAATCTTCCTGTGGAAATTGTTCCCTGAAACTATCTACTTACTGGCCTTTGCTGTTTATTGGACGTTGGATCCCTCACATAAATAGTTCGTTCAGTTTTACGTACTGATTTGTTCTTCACATCTAGCCCATCTCCATGCAGATTCTCTTTTTGTTTGGATTTTATACATCCCATATTTTCCTGTTGGGACAAAGCAAAACAATGTAAAGATTAGACAAAAATGCTATCATATGTATTCACATGGTCAAACCTATATGAATTTGTGGGGGTTATATATATATACTGCAGCAGTATATAAATAATAAAACATTGTCCCCCAAGAGATTTGTGTGGTATCTTTAAACAGACAAAATCATTTAGGTGTTTTGCCCAAAGTTTCACATAAGGTTTTTATTTTCACTTTATATTGCATATATACAGCATTTATCATATCTAAATAAAAGGGATTTTTACTTTATCTTCAGGATGAGTCACTGACATATATTATATTTACACAATGATCGATGTTCCATAATACTTTTACAGTATGCTTTATAACTAAATATAAGGAAAACTATACTGCCACATCAGTCTATTTCCTTCAAATCATACTCCAGTAATCCGTCTGTTAAAAGAATCAGTGTGCAAATGCTCATAATAGATGTATAAATGAACAAGTCAAAGTATTGAAATCAACACCTTTCAAATTTGATACTATTCTAACCCTACATTATATCTCCTACAAATGTAAACTTTAACTGAACTGAATTCAGTATGTTGAAAATACAGTCATCCTATTTAAAATAGAATTTAGCCTATGAGGTCCAATGTTCCTAAAAGCTTTAAGTTAAAAACCAATGTTTTCAAAACTGTAAAAAATATGAATACATTAAAATTTTATATTTAGATATTGTGTGATTTGAGTACAAATCTATCAAAGGAAGTATTTTCATTTATACTTTATTTTAACTGAGCTGTGGTTTTAAATTAGGGTCGTGCAGTCAGGAGTGGCAGGGGAGGCAGAGCCTCACCACTGTCATCATGAAAAGAAAAAAAATGTAAAAGGAAAAAGGCAAGAG